TGCTACCTGGTTCCCTTGTTTAATAATGTTCAGTGCTGCCAAAGAGTTGTTTTGGAGACCGCAAGCCAAACTCAGCATTTCTTCTGCTAAATCCTCCTGCAGTTCTGATGATGCTGCAACACGGCATCCAGCTCAGTTGCTGACCGCTTCTCATCAGGTGCAAGTCCTCTACAGAGAACAAGGCAGAGAGGGTAGGATACTTCAAATGTTTCAAGGACTGCTCTCCCGAAAGCACTTTGCTATGTAAGCTGACAAGCACATTACATCACAGCTCACGTATCTTATCAACTGGAAAGAGCAGTAAGTTAAACACAGACCATGGAAGCCAGTCGTTAACATCTGGGCTTACACAAACAGGAAGCAAAACCCTTGCACCCAAATCAAAACACGTTTGGAAGTCAGAAGCCTTTGGAAAGCAGCTGTCGCTTCCCGCAGAGCAGCAAAATGTTATATTCCGATTTACTTACTGGCGCTTCCTGACACTCGGCTCCTCAGAATCTGTTTTTAAAGACAAGTAGTTACCTTGTGTTTTAGCACATCATAAACCTCCAGGCCTGACTCGATCAGGGCAAGCGGCCTTACAAGCAGCGATCCATGAAAACGACAAGAGGCCAAAGGAAATTAAAGGTTTAACTTTGTCTGGGCACCTGCCTGAGGAAACGAGTTTAGCAAACTTTGATGGAGGAGGCACCAAGCTATCACACACGCGTCCAGTTCAGAGAAATGGAAGAGACCAGCCTGAAGGAAAGGACTGAATCACTGTTCCCAAGTGACAGCAGCTGTTTCTGATCTAAGTCAAGCATAGCTCCTCCAGCAGCAGCTAGAGAAACTGGGCACTGATGTGGCGGGGTACAGCGGGGGTCAGTCACGCATTTTAGAAGAGTTAACGTGATCTGGACTCAAGTGGCTCCTGGACTACGCAATCTGCCGGTGCCAGGAGACACAGGTAACAATAAGACCAGACTCTTGTGTCCAACCCTGAAGTAAGTCTGAATTCACGCAGACCGATGCTCTCTGTCCTAACGCAGCCGAGCACAATCACATCGGGGCACACCCGGGCACTACACAATACCAGCATCTGTGCTAGCACTTCTACTCGTCTTATCAGCTGGTCTGACAGGCGTTCCAGGGTGACAGCCTCCTGGGGTCAAGCAGGCGTCAGCCGATTTGTAACCACCCCATGCACCAGCGTGCAACCCGGAGCGTCTGAACCAGGTTCTCAGATAGAAGCTTGCTGGTGATGAACAAGGGATCCTGGGGAGGCAAGGAGACAAAGTAAGATTAGGTGCACACACAGACATGGAACTGGGGCCCACCTGCAAGCACCTCTCACCCCCAGAGCATCCTCCTCCTCCTAATGCTTCTGGTCAGCATGTGGGCAACTGCCCTGTACCCACCGCAAGGAGCCAAGAGAGTCACAGATCGTAAGCTAGGTGCAGCCCCTCGAAGGCAACATGCTGCTAACTGACAATCTGCGCTCTCACTGGGGACAGACAGGTGTATCCTCAGCTGTACAAACACACACTTTGAGAGGAGAATTGAACAAAAAGAATGAAGTAAAAACATCTCAGAAGCTGTAAGGGGTTCCCTTGGCTATGACCTGCCCCCACAGAGAGCCATGGGTCTGAGGCCTGCTACCAGCAGCAGTCCCGGAGGACACTCGCTTCAAGGCTGGAAAGCATATGCTGGGGACAGCACCTGGCTGAGGTGGGTGACCCCCCCGGAGCTGGCAGCAGAACACACTGTGCCGAGCAGCTCACGCCTCATCTTGTCCGTACAGCGAGCTTTCGTCCGCAGGTGAACTGTTTCAGTGGCTGGGGTTCGCTCTTTCGTTGTAGTAGGAGTTCGTCCTGGAGCCAGGAACTGATTTGCCAGTGCCGTCTCAGTTGATGACGACTATAAGAGAGACATAGCCAAAAGGAGTCATTAACCCAATGCTCTGCAAGGGACGCTGGAGAATGAGTGATCTGGGGCAAGAATCCAGAGAGCTCTTCCACCGTTGCATCCTGAACAATAGGGAGAGAAGCAAAATGACAGCACAGACAGCTGCGACCGCAGCAGATCGAACTGCAGCACAGAGATCATTAAATGCCAATTCAGAGATGTGCCACGCAGGAGGCACAGACGAAAGGGCAAGCTGCGTGGAACAAGCAGCATCTGTCACAAAGGCTCGAAGGTCATTCTGGGACATGTCTAGAACGAGTCTGGAATGCCAGAGGTCACGGCCACTTGACTTCTAGATCTGACCGACACGCTCGAGGTTTGGAGGAAGAATGTGCACGTGTGGAATCCAAGATGAGACTCGATCCCCCCGAACAACGACAGCACCGCGAGCACAAGTAAAGAACACTTAGCATGGCATTTCAGGCCGGACAAGGGTCTTACCAACTTTTCAGCTTCCAGAAGTCCCTTTAAGAAATCCACTTTGCGGGAGTATTCATTCAGCAACTCGGGGGCAGGCTTGCTGCAAGCAGCAGAGGATATCATGAAAACCAGGAGTCAGCATTTCCTACTGCAAACATTTCATAAAAATCAAATGCACAGGGGCTGGGAGTCCTAGTAGAAACTACTCAGACAGGGTTACCCTCACGGCTGGTTCCCCAGCAGCTAGCTTTCAGAAGCATCACAGGTTGAACTACCCACAGAAAATGAACTCACCTGATACCTCTAGCGGTAGCTTCTCCAGGACACGGAGAGTGTGAGGGTGTGCGTGCAGGGGAGAGCAGGGTCAGAGACGGCTGCCTCGCTGACCACGTGTGCTTTTCCTGCTGGGAGGCTCTGCCCCTCGCGTGCGTGTGTCCCTGTGTGGAAGGCAGAGTGCACCAGGCACGCTGGAGCCTACCAGCAAGCTACTGGAGCACCTGTGAACTGGGAGAACACTGGAAGATTTCAGTCTAAACCCCCCCAAGACGCATCTTGCCACCCAGATCGCTCCTGTGGTGCATGTGGAGACTGAAAAGGCTCCGAGGTGCAGATCACTTCTCCCGTGTGTCTGCGCCGCACAGCGGAGCCCCAGAGGTCTAAACAGGCTGCCGAGCGCTCCTGCAGGGACTTCACTACTGGGTCGGACACGTGTTAATGGCAGTAAAACATCCTCCGGGGTAAGCAACCTCTCAGACTCCAGCCACATCGAGCAGCCTCGCCCAAGCACAAGCCAGCAACCTATTATCAGAGACCCAGACGTATGTGCAACTCCAGCGTCCTGGGCTCCATGTTTCGCAGGTACCAAACTAACTTAAAAACCATGTAAGATAAGCTGTGTCTGGTTAGAGAGCTCTCACCTGGAGTGTTTCTTTAGCTCAAGAAGCATCTCTTCAAGAGCACCTACCTACTGGAGAGAAAAACCCCCCAAAACAAGCAAAACTTTCACAAGTGTGGGCAGCAAGTGGAAGCAGCGACAGATTCTGAGGGCTATGCAGGCTGACCCTCAATTGATGAGAGCTTCCCTTTAATTAAACGTGATCTAATGATGCTTCTAAAGGCCCAATGAACGTGTGTAAACACAAGTCATTTGTGTGACGTTAAGCTGCACCACTCGCACGTGCAGACTGCAGAATCTGCAACCTGCATGAAAAGCACCTTTCTGGGCAACAAACAGATCCTCACTGCGAGATCTAGAAGCCTAACTTTACCCATGCTACTTCTGTGGAGCCCAAAGAAACGAGCAAGGCCAGATAATGCTGAA